ATGTTGTTAATGTCTTGAGCGACCCTGCTAACTCCATGAATTGAGAATCTATATTCTTGTAAGGCGTTCTTCAAAATCCTTCATTGTTTGAGCATGATGAGTAGCATTTGTCTTAGTGAAGAATTTTGAACAGATCTTACAAGCTAATACCATTTGTTACGTAAATTTCTAGTCCTAAGAATTGAGCGTGAATTCGAAGAACATAGAGAGATAGAGAGAACCTTAAGAAAGAATCAGTTCTGAATGATTATTGATATTTTCAAGATTACATAAGCCTTTTCTTGCAAGACATTAATGAATGAATCAATTAGTTAAACTTTTACTTATCGTTAACTAACTAACTAAAGTAAAAGTTTTCCAACTAATTGAATAACGTGTGTACAAAGATCTCACCCTTCTCTATACGTACCTTATTTCATATAAATCCTTCACCATATCTATCTTTGACTTGGTTTCTCTCACTATTTTTGCTCAATTTCTTTTCCATTGCCATGAATCTGGTTTCTTTTCTCTCTTGTCTTTCATTTCCTCTTAATTTTTTCTCAAACGCAAGAACCTTCTTCTATCATGTTACCCATGATTTCAGTTCTTCACTTTCATCTCCCTTTCTGTTTCCTTGCCCTAAAGTTTTCATTTTCATTCTTGGACTCCAACCTGATTATCTGAATTGTACTCAGGTTGGAATTTGTGAGAAATCAAATAGTATTTTAGGAAAGAATAAATAAGGAAATTTGTATATTTCCTTGTAATCTGTACAGATTTGAATAATTAGGAACAATCCCATAAATCAAGGGATCCTAGCATAAAATAGAGTTATTATATTTCCTAAAATAGTTTAGGTCTCTTGTATATATCTTTTATCATCTCTTTGTATTGATATAATAAAAATCATATATTTCAGCTTAATCTATTTTTCTCAGATGGTATCGAGCTTCCGATCTAGGAAGCTCTGTCACGCTCGATAAACCCTAAGACGGCAGCCTGCATTGCCGCTGCATATTTTGTAACCCTAAGACGGCAGCCTGCATTGCTGCTGCATTTTTCTTAACCCTAAGACGGCAGCCTACATTGCTCGCTGCATTTTTCTTAATCCTAAGACGACGACCTGCATTGCTGCTGCATTTTTCTTAATCCTAAGACGACGACCTGCATTGTTGTTGCATCGCACCTTTTTGCTATAATGTCAAGGGAAGAGGAGATAGAAAGGGTGAAAACCATTCTTAGTAAGTTGGAAAAACCTACAGGTATGTGTTCTTTGGCATACTCGGTAAGTTTCCACCTTCTTTTGGATTAAATGTCTCAGTATACGCCTTTTAACCATTATTGGATATTGGACTCGGAGCCACAGATCACATGACACCATTAGCCAAACACTTCTCCACATATTTCCCATGTCCCAAGCAACAAGAAAATTGCCACAGCAGATGGAACCCTTATAACTGCAACTGGTCAAGGAAATATCCAAATCAATCCTTTAATAACCTTGAAAGACGTTCTCCATGTCCCAAAGTTATCCATGAACCTAGTGTCTATACAAAAACTTATAAAGGATTTGTCATGTAAAGTTGTTTTTTCCAACGATCATTGTGTATTTCAGGATAAGGATTCGGGGAGGATGATTGGACATGCTAGAGAATGGAATGGCCTTTATTATCTCGAAGATCCAAGTCTCGCCCAAGCAAGAATAGAATCTCTCACTCCTTCATATCTCGAATCCTTGATGAACAACAGAGAAAAAATCATGCTTTATCATTGTCGGTTGGGACATCCCTCTTTTGGAGTGATCAAAATTATATTTCCCTCTCTGTTTACCAAGTTAGATGTTGAGAGTCTTCATTGTGAGGTGTGTGAACTTGCTAAGCACAAACGTATATCTTTACCAATAAGTAATAGAATTAGCAATTTCCCTTTTTATCTTGTTCATACCGATGTATGGGGACCTTCTAATATTCCAAATGTGTCTCGGTACTCGATGGTTTGTCACCTTTATAGATGACTCGTACAAGGGTCACTTGGGTTTTCCTACTTAAACAAAAATCGAAGTCGGCTTCTGTCTTCCTAAACTTCCACTCCATGATAAAAAATCAGTTTGGTGTTAATATTAAGAGGCTTAGGTCGATAATGCCAAAGATTACTTCAATCATGTCCTTAATTCTTTTTGTCAAAAAGAAGGTATAATTCATGAGTCCTCTTGTGTCAAAACACCACAACAGAATGGGGTCGCAGAGAGGAAAAATGGACATCTGTTAAATCGGACTCGGGCATTGTTGTTCCAAAAAAGTGTCCCAAAAATTTCTGGGGGAAGTCGTCCTTACAAGCAACATACCTTATCAATAGACTACCCTCTAGAGTCTTAGGATCAAAAAGCCCTATGGAAGTTTTGTCGTCTTTCTATCCAAACTTGTTTACTACAAATAATCTTAAACCAAGAATTTTTGGGTGCATCTCATATGTCCATATTCATAGTACAGACAGGGGAAAACTTGATCCTAGAGCCTTAAAGTGTGTCTTTGTTGGTTACTCACCCACTCAAAAAGGGTATAAATGCTACCACCCCCCATCCAAAAAATTCTTTGTGTCTAGGGATGTTACCTTCAATGAACAAGAGGGCTATTTCCATCAACCTTATCTTCAAGGGGAGAGTTTCAAGGAAGATAAGGAAAGTAGTGATTCTGGTTTTCCCATTCTTCCAGACTTGACATTTGAACCTAAACAAGATCAAATTGAAGTTGTAACAAATGAAACAAGTCAAGGAATTGGTCAAGCAAAGGAAGTTGGTCAAGAAAGTGAAATTAATTGTGAAGCTGATCAAGAAGATGTTGAAACTGGAAAATTTGGTAAGAAGTTGGTGTACTCAAGGAAGACTAAGGCCATTCCAGGATCAAGCCATGTTCAAGAATCCAACTCGACTCCACAAAAAGAGGTAACAATTTTTTCTCCAGCTGTGCAGGTTGAAATTGAAACCCAAAATGATCCCGACCTCCCAATTGCCATTAGAAAAGGAACAAGAAAATGCACCAAACAGACCACTCTACCCTCTCTCAAATTACCTGTCCTTTAAAAATTTCTCTCCTACCCATAAAACCTTCCTAGTAAACCTAAACACCGTACTTCTACCTAATACCCTATCTCGAGGCATTGTCTCGACAGAAAATGGAGGCAAGCCATGGATGAAGAGATGGAGGCATTGGAGAAAAACAACACTTGGGAGTTAGTCACCTTACCAATAGGAAAGAGGCCAGTTGGATGTAAATGGGTCTATACAGTGAAATACAAGGCCGATGGATCAATTGAGAGATATAAGGCAAGACTAGTTGCCAAAGGGTTCACCCAAACCTATGGAGTTGATTATTTGGAGACCTTTGCTCCGGTTGCCAAAATGAACACAAGTTAGGGTGATATTGTCCCTTGCTGCCAATTATGGTTGGAACTTGGAACAATTTGATGTTAAGAATGCTTTCTTACATGGAGACCTTGAAGAAGAAATCTATATGGAGGTACCTCCGGGATATGGTAAAGATGTTGCTACCAACACTGTTTGCAAGTTGAAAAAGGCATTATATGGGTTAAAACAGTCCCCCCGTGCATGGTTTGGCAGGTTTACTAAAGTTATGACAGGTCTGGGTTACAAACAAAGCCAAGGGGACCATACTTTGTTTTTTAAACATTCCAAGTCTGGGGGAGTAACAATATTATTGGTGTATGTGGATGACATAATATTAACTGGAGATAATAAAGAAGAGCAACGATTATTGAGTCAATGCTTAGGCAAGGAATTTGAGATCAAGACTTTGGGAAAACTAAAATATTTTTTGGGAATTGAAGTTGCCCACTCGAGAAAGGGATATTTATATCTCAAGCAGAAATACATCACCGATTTGCTCAAGGAAATTGGCAAGGCAGCTTGCAAACCTCGCTAGTACCCCATTAGAACCAAACCTAAAGCTTGGAAATGCAGTAAGAAGATGTTGCTGTTGAAAAAGATATGTACCAAAGATTAGTGGGCAGACTTATATATTTGTCACATACCAGGCCGGATATTGCCTATGCAGTGAGTTTAATTAGCCAATTTATGCATAGCCCAAAGGAGACCCATTTACAAGTTGCCCACGTAATTTTACAAGTACCTTAAAGGAACTCCAGGAAAAGGGATTCTATTCAAAAGGAATGGTAATGTGAAACTTGAAGCCTATACCGATGCTGATTATGCAGGGTCAATTGTGGATAGGAGGTCAACTACAGGATATTGCACCTTTCTTGGAGGAAATCTTGTGACTTGGAGAAGCAAAAGCAGGGTGTAGTGGCTTCGGTCCAAGGCTGAAGCGGAATTCCGAGCCATGGCACAAGGTATATGTGAGTTGCTATGGCTTAAAATCATCTTAGAAGACTTGAGGATAAAGTGGGAAGAACCTATGAAGCTCTATTGTGATAATAAGTCAGCAATCAGTATAGCCCACAACCCAAGTGCAAGCATGATAGAACAAAGCATATTGAAGTAGACAGACACTTCATCAAAGAAAAACTTGATAAGTGGCTTGATATGCACTCCATATGTGTCCTCTCAAGACCAAATTGCAGACATTCTTACCAAGGGACTGGGCTGCCATAATTTTGAGAAGATTGTATCCAAGCTGGGAATGGAAAACATCTAATCACCAGCTTGAGGGGGAGTGTGAGAAATCAAATAGTATTTTAGGAAAGAATAAATAAGGAAATTTGTATATTTCCTTGTAATCTGTACAGATTTGAATAATTAGGAATAATCCCATAAATCAAGGGATCCTAGCATAAAATAGAGTTATTATATTTCCTAAAATAGTTTAGGTCTCTTGTATATATCTTATATCATCTCTTTGTATTAATATAATAAAAATCATATATTTCAGTTAATCTATTTTTCTCATAGAATTGCTTGAGCAGAGCCCTTTGGAACCCCCTCCTTCCCTCAGTTGTTCTAGGATCGCTAACGTGAGTAACCTCCCACTGTTGGTTTCAATGATATGTCCTTCCTCTTCTTCCACAACCAGCTCCAGGTTTCCCTCTTTTCATTTCAGGTGAAAGTGCTGCTCCAAGATTGGAGATGTAAAAATAGACAAGAAACTAAAACAAAAATGAATTTATTGAATATTCAGGGTATTTGAGAGACCATGTTCTGTGCCACTCTCTTAAGGTCTAATCATTTCTCAAATGTAAAGATAGATGTCTCACAACCGCATCTTATTGGACAATATGCCTTATATTTTCTGTCTCATCTAACTGACCTAACTAACGGACTCACTGACATAACCGACTATTACTAACCAATGGACATTTATCAGTACACCCCCTCAAACAGCTCTTGAATCCTTCAATTGCCCCATCCACAACTCTTAAGATCAGAGTTTTTGTACAAATTGTTAAGAACCTCGAGAAACACAGCAGAAATACTAATTGTTGTAATTAGGGAGCCCAGGATGTATAATCCTGGAAAAACTTGTAGCTTCTAATCATGCTTGGCACCCCTGACAAATCCTAGCATCCAATCCACATGGACGAGTTTTGTACTTACCCTTTGATTAGTGTCAAGTGAAGACTAGAATGTTGGCATCACGATTTAGGCTTCTCATTTGCAATTGGGAGACATGATGGAAAACTCTCATATGCCAGTTGCTGCTAGAAGCTTGATATCTTTTGATAAATTGGTCATAGCAACAAATTTGCAAAATTTCAGCTGTCTTGACCTCCCAATATGCAAATCCCCCAATTCTTTCACTTATGACACCTCTCCCAGGTCCCCCTCTTACTTTGTATGCAAGCATGCATTATTTCTTCAATATTATAACAAGCCCTCCTAACCTACCTACCTGACTTTCTCGCTGCGAAAGTAAACACTAACAGATATCTGACAGTGTCTTAAGATGGGATGATCTACGAATGTCATTGTTATCACCTCAGTGCATTTTTTTAGGTAAGGACCACATATTGCATCAGTGCTTCCATTAATTTAAGCTGGATCAAATATGAACTTGTTACTTGTGGTGATTGGTGTCACTCCTTATCATAAACTTATAATACAATTACATTCAAGGACTGAGCGATAGCTTCCTGTTTCTTGTTTACCCTATATATATTCATGACTACGCCTTATGCTATCAGATGCTTTGCCCGTGCATGGTGTGGATAGGGACTTTTTTTTTTCCTGTTACTTTTAGTGATGATTATTTTTTTCCTTACCAGCCACAAAATCAGCAGCAAACGCCGTGCAAACATCACTTGCAATCATTACCACATCAATCTCAGTTTCACCCAAATCTCCAGAACAACCCAACTATGCACCAAAGTCAGCATGCAGCGCCTTATTCGCATAACCCTCAAAGTGGTCCCCCCTCACACCTACCTGAAATTTCTCATGCTCACCAACCAATATCAATATCTCAACACATGACTTGCTTACAACAACTTTCTGGCGGCCATGTCGGAGGACGCTTGCACATGCTGGTGAGTTTATTTGATAGATTTTGTTTTATCAAACGGGGAAAGAGTTTTTGCACTTCAATATGCATGTCTAAAAGTGTGGTAAGACCAACTTATTCAAGCCGTTTGTCTATTGTCTATAATTGATTAGTTAATACTGAATTTACTTTATTGTCTTTTCTCTGACGCCTATCCTTCTGCTTTGACTTTTTAGCATTTAGACATAACTCTTAAAGTAGATACTTGTTTACGATTTCCCAATAGAGCTTCATATTAGTACTAAGGTTTCTCATGATTTGCCTTATTATGCGTACTAGTAATGAATATGGGTCCACATGACCAGGCCAACAGTTTAAAAATCTTTATATATTATAATGATATAGGAGACACTTGAACAAAAGGTTTATTTTAATGATTTTATTTGTTTGACATTTCTTTAAACTACTTTCTCTTTTGCTGAGTTGTATCCTGTTGCTTATATACAGCCAACAACTCCGGCAAAATTCTGTGATGAATGTGGGGCTCCATATCTGAGGGAAACATCTAAGTTCTGCTCCGAGTGTGGTTCAAAGAGGTTAGGAACATAAAAGGATTGGACAAGTTTTACTAGCCCACATAGCATTTGCCCTCATTATTCTTTTATCACAGTTGTACTCAGCTTTTTTACATTATTAGTTTTCGTAGTATTTTTTTTGTTTTGAAAAAAATGTATGTAGCCAAATAAATAGAAAAGACATTTGAAAAGTATAGTCTCTGGTAAATAGTTGTAGATATATCCATCTATTGGGTTTGCTCTTGTGTAAGCTTTGCAAACCAAAATGCCTAACTTAACGAAGCCGGGAAATTGACAAGTTTTTTTTTTTTTTTTTTGGCTTTTCGATGTTTCAATAATGGGAAGCTCTAACTACATATTGTTTATGATTAATTATGTTTCTAGTTTCTGAAATCTTAAAAAAGTAAATTTTAATTGCTCAAATTTAGGAAAATATAATTTTAGTTCGTAAAACTAAATTTCAAGCACAAAAATAGTTTTAAAAAAATCTAGCTCTTTATATTTACTGCTTAGGATCTAAATCTTTTTTTTTTTTAATTCAGGGGATTAAAATAAGAATCATCCGAAATTTCATGAATTAAAATATAATTAAACATATTCTTTTTCACTAATTAACCACGTGGGTGAGGTAAAACTAGCTTTAATATAAATGCAACTTTACTAGTGATAACGCAGGAGTTTTTATATTATAGGTTAAGAATGAATAAATTATATAAAAAGATAGAAAGTTGTGAAACTATAATGCATAATTAAGAGAATGTATATACTGTTGAAAATTCACTAATGACGTGTTAATCATTGCGTGCTTTATAAATCTATATTTACCAAAAACTTAGTTTAAAAAGATATTCATTATAAACATTTGTATTTGATATGAATAATTTAATATGATATTTTTATGGTTTTAAAGATTTTATTGAATAATTCAATATGATATTTGTATGCTTTTAAAAATTAAAGATTCCTTTGAATATTATATTTTTTAGTCTTTTTCTAATTTTTACTCTATGTATAATTTATATGATGAATTCTCTGTAAATATTGAACATAGAAGATAAAAGTTGGTCTTACAAAGAGATTGATTTAACTATTATTTATTGTAATTGCAACAGAAAAAATTATAAAGTAAACTTATTTTAAACTGGAAAGGATATCACAGGAAGGAATCAAACTCATTTTTTTATAAATATTTTATCAGTAATGATTGTTTCTTCAAATCATTCACCTTATGTTATATAAAATATTTATTTGATCAACATTTTTCAAAAATATTATATGTATACCAATTTTCAATTTCAGTTATTTAGAAACTCGTGTAATTAATTCATCTTGAATTTCTTAGACTTTATTTGATTGATCAAGTGTGTTTATACTTAAATAAAAATTTTCTTCAATAGGTATTAAAAACCAAATGTTTCCACTGATTTCTTCTACACATTTAATAGTTGGAGAAAATATTACTATCATAAAAAAAAATTAAAGGATGAATAAAGTCAACTGTGGTGCTTGATTGTTTAGATCTAAATAAGTAAGATGGACATAGTAAAATTATATTTACCCACTTAATTTTTGTTTTGTTTTAAAATATCTTTTGTTTTCATTTATTTTGCACAATGTTCGAGTAAAAGCATGTGTAAATATTTTCATATAACAATTGAATGATATTCATTTGTCTTACAAATTATATTAACAGTAATAATTATAATTATAATCTAAGTGGAAACATTTATAATCAAATGTTTAAAAAAATTGAATTGAATATTTAGATAAAATATATAATGGGTTAAATATTTTTTTGTCATTCTACTTCTTGTAAAACTTGATTTTGGCCCTTATACTTTAAAAAACAATTCATTACTCCATCAACTTATAAAAATATATTATGTTAATTCTTGTTTATATTTAAAATTAATATTTGATGATATTTTTATCTTAATAAGTTAGTGAAAGAATTAAATATGATTTTAATCTTTCTTTATATCCAACTCTAATATTTATTTATTTATTATAAAGTTATAAAGGGAGTACATTGACAATTTTTTTAAAGTTAATTATGTTTTGGGTCAATGTAATAATCAATTTTTTGTATTTTGTATCCAAGTGTAAAATTTATATATATTTAGTTCCTACATTTAAATAAAGGATTGATATAGTCCTTCTTACTTAAACTGGGTTATTGACTAATGCGAAAATAAGAAGTGGACCCATATGTCAATGAATATACTTATTATACTTCAATAACTTTATTAGTTGTTACATTTAGTTCGATAACCTCTTACACTTCTATGATATGTATATTTTGTATTATACACTTGTTTTATATTTGTCACAACTTTTCATTGTTTTTCTTGAAGATAAGTAAAATATTTTTAGCCTTTGCAAAAGTATTTGTCATATCAACAAGTATAAACTTTTCATTAGTTGTTAATCTATAATGATATGGATGACCTATCAACGTATCTACTAACTCATGATTATAACTTCAACAAACTAACTTAACTATTCATCCTTTACCATTCTTTAGAAGTTTTCTTCATCATTTAAAGGGATACTCACATTTTCTACTTCTTCCAACTTTTAAATGCAAATCTTTGTTGTATTTCCTATATTTACCACCTTTTTCATAACCTAGTAATACATATGTCTTCCTTCCTGGATGACAATTTATTATGTCTAACATCAATATGACAATCACAAATCTAAACCTAAATGTAATCTCTCGAAGCTTTTAGTAAATAATCTTGTATAGCAAATACCTAAAATAATAAACACAAAATCACTCTATATGACATTTATAAGTTATGGTAAACAAAATTAGTATATAACTAAAATTTTATCTCATCCATTGTAAAGACGTCAATACAATCAAATTAATTACGAGAAATATGTTCTAATATATTAATATTATCCAAACTTATTAACATGTAAACTTCATCCGACATATTCTTATTTAAAAAATCTTCCTTTACTACAACTTTGTAAACCACATCAAGTTTAAAAATTATCAATATAGAGTCACACATAATTCAAATTATTTCTAGATTGTTTTTTGGATTGGATATTTTAGAATGTAATTTCCAGATTTGGTAATCCAAAATACACTTCTAGATTTGGACAATCCAAAATGTATTCTCGAAAAAGGTGATCGAGAATATATTTTTAAAAACATGAAGCTGGAATCTAGAATGTATTTTTAAAATGTGTAATTCAAAAAATATTTCTAAATACAATTTTGGATTAGATTTTCCAGAATAATTTTGGATTGATTATTCCGAAATCCAGTTATAAGTTATGAATTACTTAATTTAGAATTCTCCTAGAAACTCTAATTCAGAAATACGTCCTGGACTAATTAATCTGAAAATATATTTTGAGGTGTTTAGGAACAATGCATTGTTTGTGTGAAAAAAAAAATGAGGGATCAAGAACAGTTTACAAATCTTACTTGGAATTGACCACTTATATTATAAATGATAATAATAATGGAAAGAAAAAAAATGAAAAACATTTAGGGTTAAAAAACAAAAACAATGAGACTTATGCGAAGGAGATAAAATGGTAAAATAAAATTTATTTTAATTATGGAAATGCAGGAAAAGATTATTGAGATATAGGAAGAAATAATCTAAAAACTAAAAGATACATATTTGTATTTTTCTTTATATATATATATATATATATATATATATATATATATATATATATCATTATAGGGAATTAAAATATGCACTAATCTATATTATAAATAATATTTTATATTTTAGCTATATCTTATAAAATCCTTGGACCACTTCACTTTGTTTTGGGATTTCGGCCCATCATGTGTGTGATTTGGAGAGAGAAAAATGAAGACTTTTTTGCATGAGATGAAAGCTGGGCTTTAATGACACAGGATTAATGCATTAAACTACACCATAAGTATTATAAAATATTTTAGAAAGCTTATGATACTTAGCCTTGGATAATGATGTTTGTTGATTGATATGTTGCAATTTAATGTAGACTTCATAACTGTTTCATGTATTAATGGGTTTTTAGGTAGTTAGTTCGTTAAATTGTTGGGTTGGCTTCCTTTATAATGTAATGGGCACTGGAGGTACATTGTGTTAGATTCATGCTTGTATTCATACGTTCTCTGTCTGTGATAAATTCATAATTCAGACTATATTCGACTCCCTATTTCCACTAAGTTCTTCGTGGGTTACCTAGAACTTAAGCAAATCCCAACAATTGGCATCAACCTCGCGATCCTTGAGAGAATTCATGGCAGAAGCAACTTCCAATGCTAGAAAACTACTTTATACGATTTTTAAATTCTTGATTTTTATATAATAGTAGTATACATGAATCATAGTAAAAAGATTAATTTTGATCCATGAGAATCTGATCTTTAATTTTTTTGTTCTATAACTTCTTTTTTCTCAATCTATCTATTTGTCTTTCTTTCTCCTCTTTACACTTCCTGATAATTTACTGTAAAAAAAATCTTATGACTAGAGACAGAACTCTTATCCCCTTTTATTAACCAACATCCATCAAGTTGGTTACTATAAGTTTTTATTTTATTTTATCTTTATTTTATTCTTACTTCCCATAATAATAGGTCCTTATATTTTATTAAATCACATTTTTGTCCATCGTTACATTTCACATAAGTCACATAATAGAATGAATTAATTAAATTAATTCTAACAAAGAATTCATTTTTAAGAAATTAGAGTTAAAACTAATTGTGTTGGTGGGTTTTGTGAAGCTCACCTTGACGAATTTTGTCCAAGATCAAGTGAAAGAATTTTTCAAGCAACAAACGGAGAGCAATCAGAGTTCTGCTAAGGTAGACACTTCACGTTACAATTGTCCACCACCGTCAACATATCCTTGTGGGACGCATTTGGCAAGAATAGACTTTCCACGATTCAATGGTGAAAACATGCACTAATGGATCTATCAGTGTGAAAACTATTTCCTAATTGATAGATAACACACCAGAAGATGAGCGGGTAAAATTGACCATTATACATTTGGAAGGACGAG